AGTTTTTCGACTGAATTGGATGGAGGTTTTTGAGGCGATTACTGCTCATGAACAACACGCAGTGCACATAGAAATACGCTCCGAATAGTGGAGTTGTGCAGAGACTGACAATGAATATCGTCGGAAATATGGCTGACAATTTCAGCATTCGTTGACAAGTCAGCTATTGAAATTGGTCGGTTATCGTCTAGGTGCCCATGAACGATTGACAGTTGCTGCCGTTATCGCTCTTCCCATTCGAGTGTTAAACAGTCTATGTTTTTGCTCCAGCGGATATTCTATGCTGGTGTCTGTGCATACGTTTTTTATGTGCAAGAATTATCTGAAATGGCAAATAATCTTAATAATTTTGATGATCCCAGCATTATTCAACGAATCACTTATTGATCACACACATTGGCAATTTTCGAGGATCCCGAAATGATTTTACGGGGTTTCCCGAAGAGACGAGTTCATAGAAAAGGAAAATAACCGAAGTATTGCGTATACTGAAGTGAGGTGCTAGAACAATTCTACGGGGTTGGACGACTGCTTCTAAATTGAACTTCCAAATTGAATTAAATTCGAAAATTAANTTGTTTATGAATTCAAAATTAAGTTACATCGTATTCTGAAATTCTAGAATGTTATGATTCAATCAGATTTAAAGTGTAAAGATTTAATTCATTTCTAAAGTTTGAATATTCTAAATCAAATTATAAATTCTAAATAGTTCATTTGCATGGATCTGAAGTTATATTGTGGGGAGTAGTTCTAGCTGCTGAATACATGGATAAAATAACGTACGAGGCTGAGCGGTTAATTATGATTTAATATAAAGGTAATGTGTTTGTAGCACTGGGCAGAATAATTGTGGTTGAAAGTAATTTGCGAAATTAAGCGATTAATTGTGGTTGATGTTAGAGGAACATGTTTGTAGTATTGGGCAGTGTAATTATGGGTGATGAGGATAGGATTAACTATATGGATTCTAATCCATATAATCTCCAGAAAAATCATCAATATTACTGTTGATGGCATCCGACCGGAAAAATCCGACAATTTTGGTCGGAACTTCGATATTCGAATTCCGATCGAACAGTTTGAAAGATCGGTCGGAATTCTGACTGTCGTAAATTTAAAATGTCAATTCGGTCGGATTCCGACCGAACGATTCCGGCAGTCGGTTGCAATTCCGATTGTCGGAGTACTGAAAATTCATGTCGGTCGGAATCCGATCGACATTAAATTTCGCTCGGATGTCATCATTATTGCTTGACGACATCATTTGAAGGAATGCACGGAATTTGTCGAGGGTTCCGATTAAGATTCGATTGAGGTCGATGAAAGAAACTTGTGGTGCGTGTTTGAGGAGCGGGAGGAGATTTGCCGATGAACAGACGTTGACAAGGCGATTCTTTGGAAGATTTGTGTCAACTAATCGATGAATGTTCATTGGGATGGGGCTGGGGTAGATTTAAACTTATTGATAGTGTCACTTTTATCGATATTGCTGTCATAATTACCGATACACCTGTCAGAGTGAGGTGGACAGAATGATAACCTTCTTTTAGTATCACCTCTAGATCTCATACGCTTTGTCGTGAAAATCGCGATTAATTACCATAGAAATCTCTAAATACCGCTGTAACTGTCTCAATATTTTCCCTTTCTCATTGTTTTCGCCACTTAGGCCATTGCATTAGCACATCAATTCGTCTTTTTTCGTAGCTATTTGGTTCTTATCAAGTTATTGCCGCATTTCAATAAGATGCTCATGTTATTGAGCATTTTTCTTCTTCATTCAATCTTAAAACTTCGTCGTATTTTCGGACAATTTGTTATTTGATTAACTCCTACTTATCGGACGTGTAGTTTACGCATGAACATCGTGATTATCACTGTCGCTGTGTTCAATTTAATTACTCAAGTTTGAGTTGAAATCCAATCGACAATGACGTCAAGAATAGCTATTACAAAATTTCTCATTAATTCGAATGAACATTAGGTGATGTTCATATAAAAAGGTCACCTTAATCTTGGTATTTTGATTCGATTACAAATACTCAAATTAAATGTAAAACTCAATCTAATTCAAGTTGTGATTGATTCAAAAATTGTTGTTGCAAAACATTCCGAACATTTCGACTGATATCAGCTAATATTTGTCAAAATATCTAGCCAATATTTGTCAACAGTTAATAATCTCGCGTCATCAGATTTGCCAAATATTGTTTCTGATACCAACTCCAGAGATGTATTCACTCAATCAACAACTTTTTCTATTCCACAACTGAATGAACTTCAACTAATTTTTTGGCTCACAATCAGTCACAGAGCAACAATGAGTGTGTTCTGTTCGTCTATTTATTGTAAATTTTGCATTAGTTTCTTTAGCACAATTGTTCGCAAGTCTGTCAGACCTTGGTTCTTAATTGCCAATTATCGCATTATTTGTACACCGGTACAATTCGTCCAGCTAACAATAAGATCAGTTAGAATAATACCATTCATCTATTATTATTCGTTTCCTAGTTGTTCTGGTTTGTTCTCATTGTCCAATTTGTTGCTAATTCATTTCAACAACAAATTCATCCCCTTCACACGAAACTATCACTGTTTTATTATTATTCAGTTCATTAATTTTGTTCAAACCATAAATTTCAATTTTTTTTTTGCAGTGATTTCCACGACGTTTTTGTCTTCCAATCTCGAAGATAATAAAACACGCTTTATTACATCTGCCGACATTTATCACCATTTTCGAAATCCTTTGCACCCTCCACTCGATTCATGCTTCTGAAATTTCAAGATTTGAAAACTTTGAAGATTCCCAACTGCTCCTGGTGAAAACGTTTTATGGCGTTCAATAAACGAATCGAGGACTATTATCAGAATGGAACGTCATAAAACGCTTATTCTTATTTCGATGTGGTTGATCCCGATTCAGATTATCATTCCATTTTTTGATGGAGTTTTACGAACGAGAACGACGATTATGTAATCCACATACAGATGCAGTTAGACCTTCATGGAATTCGTTTGATTTATTCAATTCGAATGAGACATGTCGTTCTAGACCAGTGGTTCTCACGCTCGGGTGCTCCATTACCCATCTTGTTAATCTGACACGCCGCCGTAACCCCCCCCCTCCCCCTCCTTCCTGACACAAAAACTTACTCACTGTACATATAACGTTGGGAACAAAAGGAAAACCGGCCCGAAAATTCCTCAGTGGCGTAAAAGAAATTGATTTTCTGGAATCAAACAAGTATTTTTAGAACTTTATTTATCCAATGCAGGAACAATACGAAACTCGGCATTAAAAACGAAAAGCAGTGAAGAAAAAGAAAACATTCTTCAGCGATAAAGAAATGAAATTTGACAACAAGTTCAATCAATCATGAAAAAGGAAGATGCGATAAAAATTTGAGGAATTATCTTCGAGATGAACGGAAAAGTAATCATTTCATCAAAGTGATGATTAATGAATAAGTAAAAATTCGTCGCCACGATGAAAATAAATTCGAACTATCGCGCGTTTTGAGATGAGATAAGTGCATTAGGTCTGAAATTCTCATTCTACTTTTCAAGCATTTCAGTCACTAACATCATAAGTAATGTTGTCGTTCATCACGGAAGAAGTATTATACCGGTTTAAGAAACATTAATAAGCGATGATACGAGAATTAGAAATTGTTAAAATTGAAAAAAAAATCAATATCACCAAATTCATAAATATTCGATCGTCCAACACCAAATCAATGATCTTTTCTGTCATACCAAAAGCTCAATCAATTCTTATTGCTCATGAGAGAAGATGTCAGCCAATNTATCAAAGCACTCATGAGATATTTGTGACTTCTTCAAACTGACTTTTGTTCAGGCCTAAACGAACTAAAGATACTCTAAAAATAGGATAAAGACGACTGTTTCCATGATCGAGTCGCGAGTGAAAAAAATACACCATCAAAACGGCGTTTCATCATAACAAAACAGCAACAAATATTAGTTTCTCTCAGTCAATTCAAAGTGTTGATGAGAGACGATATCAGCCAATATATTGAGCAACTTACGAAACATTTATGACTAAACAGACTTTTGTTTAGGTTCGGATGAACTAATGATACTCAGAAAATAGGAGAAAGAAGAGTGTTGCCGTGAACTAATCGTATCTACACCATCACAATGGCGTTCTATCGTAACATAACTGCACGAAATATTAATTTCCCAACCACCTCCGTTACCCCGACGAGACCCCTAAATTACCCTAAATTACCCCCTATGAGAACCACTGTTCTAGACTGAAGGTCACATGTTTACAGAACTCAAATCGAATGTTTTGATTGAATTGAGGCGTATTTTTATAAGTTTGTTAGATTCTGTCTTCCATAATTCCACTGAATTTCTTCATCTGGAATGAATTTTTCGACTGATAATTTTGGATTTATAAAATTTTCAAGAATTTTTTGCTTGCCATTATTTTATCATCGAAATGATCATAACACATCAAATAAATGAACAAGCTACAGACGAAAACATCAAAATGAAACTCAGTGACATGAAAAGAAAGACCAAACCTGCTTCTGATTGGGGGCTGGGGTCTGTTATCGCTATGATCTCCATCCATATTGCTGCCGCTTGAGCTCGAAGCTTCATCTCCGAGAGTAGTGTCCGAAGGTCGACGCAAATCCAGCTAAGATTGTGTACAGTTACTATCACTTATTGGTATCATTGTTTTTAATAACATTACTATCATAATGAAAACATTAATATGAACTCGGTACTGCCCTCCGATTGAGGTCACCAATCTTTTTTCTCCTCTCATTATGCCGCCGTTCAACGTGTGCAAGATTCCTCTTTGTTTCGCACAGTTCTCTGAATTAGTTGACTTTGATGTTTATTTTGATTCTTATCATCATTTCACTAAGTTAAATCGAAATTAAACCACCGAAACAGTCAAAACGTGATAAAGCCAAAGCAACCTTTAATTTCATATCTCTTTCAACAGTCAAGAAATTTCACCTCTCGTGTATCTCAATTTTCTTCGTTTGATCCTGAACCGTCGTCTCTAACGTTTGCATTTTCTTCAGTTGTAATTCTTGATTTTTCGTTTTGCCCTTTTCTTGTTCATACTGAAGTTTCGTTCACTTATTTATTTTATTCATTTTCGTTATTATTAATTTCAATATGATTATTTTTGAATTATTATTAACATTAAGCAAACAACTATCAATTTACCAATGTCTTAAACCGTTCTTTGTCACTCGCCAGTATTTCTAATTCTGCTTGCACTATTTCATGATCTATATGACTTGATTCCTGTAATTTTTGAATTNTTATTCTTGAACTATCATCTCAGCCTTCTTGAGCTGAAGCTTATTAATTTGATGCAGATTACGATGATGAGGTGGTAATAGTAGTGTTCGAATAGTAATTCTAAAGAATGATAACCTTTTCAGCTGGGTCAAATGGATCGCTGGACAAAGCCAGAGACCTGTAAAGAATAGCTGAATAATAACCTTTTCAGTACAGAAAAATAACTGTTTGATGATAGAATCTTCAGTTGTCGGTTGACGGCATTCTGGACAATTGCTGGGATTCTGATCGTGAGACTGCAATTATTTGTTCACTTTTTATTACTCTCATTATATTATTACCGCGTCATTATTATTTTTATTATTAATATTCTCACTATTGTTGTTATTATCACTGATCTTATCTCTATCCTGCCATCAAATATTATGAGTTTACCTGTAACCACTGTAGGATACACTGATAATGGAATGTATGACCACAACGTAATGCGGATATGTTTGAGGGTTCAAGTGGTTCAAAACATATTGGACAAATACCAAACGGTGATAACGACATTGATTAGATTTATTAACAGATCTATAAAATAACAATTATTATTGTTAACTTTTACTGTTTATTACTGGTTGTCATGTTATTAGTACTCTTTAAAGATTGTTCATAAACAATATTAATTAAAGTAATGAACTGCATAAACAGTTGGTGATAATCAGAGTGAAATATATATGGTTCTCCAACGCAACATAAAGACGCACACCAAACAGGCAAGAAAGTGAACGTAAGCACACGACACAAGCACAGAAATGAACGTGCGAACTACGACGTGAAATAATCGAGTTTGAATGCTCGATATCTGATAAGGCATTGGTTCCATTTAAATATGAAACAGAGTCTTAACTAACGGCTGCATGCAAAATTCACAATTCTACATATAGCAGGGCTAAAACTTTCATGTGTGCACCCCTGAACTGCGGTATAGTGGTGTGTGGTACCTAGTGGTGTGTGTATACCACCTTTTTGAGAACTGATCTATGCTATTCTATCCTGTGCACTTTCTTTTTGAGAACTGTTCTATTCTATTTTATTCTATTCCGCTCTATTCTATTCTGTTCAGTGTTTGAGAACTGTTCTATGTTCGTGATTTTGATCGGTACTGTTTACGTTCCCGATTGGGACTGTTTGTGACGTTGATTGTGTTGTTGGTGCGAAGGCGACGATTAATAATTCACTTTATCCACACAAATAAATGAAGACGATAATAACGGTTGAATACAGTGAAGATGGTTGAGTGACGAGAGATGCCGATGATGGCTCATAAACAACGACAACACTGGATACACGAACAACACACT